AGGAAATTGCCTTATTTTACCGCCTTTACTTTTTTAAAGTTACAATATATGTCCAAGCTGTGTGGAGCTGCCGATACAAACATATATTCAGGGCATAAATCACGTAACTTTGAAACGATAGTCGCTCAAACGATACTAACAAAATTACGTCGTCAAAACACTGATTTATGCATTTGTGCAATATTTGGTTTTCATGAAGCAAGACAATCTCGACACGATATCGTTCAGACGATTGTCGTCATACGTGATTCATGCCCTGGCTTATAAGCCTGTAATTAAACATTTTTCTACATTTAATTTGAAATAGTATGCACCAACGGATTAAAAGTAGTAAATAATTAATACCTTTTCTACTACTTTAAAATGCGTGACCGGAATAGACCTGCCGAAAAAGTGAGGTTAAGTAACTGACAACACCTTGTTATTATTCCACCATGGTTGCAGTCTTCGTTTTCGTTGCCTATACATACATGGGATTCATAGGCCGCGTTGTTTTGTTGGTGGAGCTTGATCGGTGTTTTTGTTTGTGTGAAGACCGAAGCTAGTGTGCTGTTGGTTCGGTATGCCAATTTTATATTAGGGTTGTTGGTGGTTATTTCGTGGTCAAGTTGTTGGTAGAACTTTGGAATGTACGTCACACTATGATATCGCTTTGTTCCGTCTGTTGTTTTCGTGGTTGGCATTTTGTTTTGATTTTTATTTATCTCTGTTACTTTCTGTTCGATTAGGCTTTGTATTAGGTAATGTGGGTAGTTGTTACTTGCGAGAATTTTCTTTATTTTACCTATGTTCGTCTCCTTAAATTGTTGATCGCTTATTGTTAATATTTTGTGTATTAGATTTTTAGCTGTGTTGATCTTATACTTGAGGGGTTGCGATGACAAATAGTTTATTAGGCGCCCAGAGGAAGCTGGTTTTGCGTACCAGTCAAGTGCAATGAGATCATTTTTTCGATGGACCATGACATCTTGGAATGGTATAGAGTTTTTTGCTTCTGATTCCATTGTAAATTGCAGCTTGTTTTATTATAGCAAAAATATCGTCTACGTATTTAACAATGAATTTGATGTCAATATTAAAATTTTTCTTCAGAGACGACCTATTGGAGAGCACTATTTTGGACCATTAGCATACATTTGTGACCGGTCAAATAGTTTCCGAGATATTATAAATATACAATATAGAAAACGTTTAACTTTAACCTCTTTTATTGGCTTTGATTTTTATTTGTGACAAATAATATTGGTGTGGTTTAAATCAGCATGAAAAGTTCTATAGAGTAAAATTTTTTCTCTTTTGTTGTTAAACGGTTGGTATTTCAAACCACAGCTACTTCGGATTATTTCTGTATAAACCAGTGGTCGGCGCTTCATACCACAATTGTGGAAGATCACCTCACACGTATTCTTATGCTCTATCGTTTAGTCGTTGGCTAGAGAGCAACGAATCAACATCGTGTTTGGCTGCTGCGCTTTGATTCTTGAATGCAAAAATGCCTTGCGAGAAATATTACATGCTTGAAAATGCTTGTCTTTTGTGTTATAAGTCATTTAAAAAATAAAGAATATGCTTTTCAAAGACATTTTGATTCTTTTCATAACGAATGATGACGAAGAAATACGACTTTTTAATGATAAAAAGTTAATTTTGATTTTTCAAAAAATTAAAGGGTGGTTGTTAAAGGGAATATGTATGCGATTAAAAGACATTTTTAGGGCCGGTTACTCAATGTCTGGTTAAAGCTGAAATTAGTCGAGAACGCAGAACGTATACTTAAACGCAGTCTGTATACGCAGAATTTTGTCGATTACTGGAGCCCTCAGTGTTGCTTACTACACTGTTGCCACTCATCAATATCTTTTCATAAACTTACCCTTTCAACTACAATTTTTCTTGCTATAATAGTTTGTAGCTAAATATAAACTACTTAGTTTTCGACAAAAACCTTATTCAATAGTAAATTTCAAATATTTTAAACATATTTTGAATAGGAACTTATAACTTTTTTACCATCTGTAAAACTGACGAAGTGGCAACCATCTAAAGAAGGAGAAATCAGCTGACACGGAAAAATCTAAATTCCGCAGATTTCTGCGCTACGGGCTACAACTACAGAAAAATTCTGCGGTGTTGAGTTTTCATTTACATGGCGCTTTGGTAAGACAGATCGTGTCAGCTGACTCGGGTTTACGTACCGGTAGGTTTACGTTCTTGACTAATTTCAGCTTAAAAGTAATCTGCGTTTAAACATCGTTATCGACGTCTTCGACTCCATGCATATAACAGAGAGTCGGTAACGTCGATAACTATGTTTAACCGGAGATTAGTGTTAACCAGCCATTGAGTAACCGGCCCTTAATCATTTCATAATGATATTAACACTCGCTACAATTATAACGTGTTGTCTCTTCTTATAGATTTACGTTCTTTGAGTACGGGAACAGGCTAAATGTGAATAAGGAAAAGTAAACAAACAAATGTCAAATTAAACTCTGAGTTTCTTTAACACCCCAATGAGAACACTTGGCAGTTGTTCATAAACTCAAAACGTTAAACTCGAGTTAATTTTTCAACGTGACCATAGTATTAGGTTAAGAAGGCGTGGTATTTTGTATATATGAAGAATATTGGAACAAATGATTGTTAAAATTCAATACATTTACTAGAAATACAAGTAACACCATTCACTATTTGTATCTAAATCGTAGTTTTAACTGCAAAAACTATTATATTCATGCATTTCAATACATAATACATAAACAGACAAAAAAAGTTAGTAAAAATTCAGATCAAAATTTTTTTTCTAAATTTGTATTAAAGGTTACATACGATATATTAACAAAATTAATTATTATAATCACGTTTCAGAGTTCATTGTTAAATAAATATGTAATTAAGTATGTGTGTATATATGTATGTATATATATTAGACTGCATCACCAAAACAATTGGGGTTTTCCCGCCGGGATTACAAAATTTATTATATTTGAAGACCTCCACCAAAATATTTCGGAAAAATATTATGATTTACGTGAGCTGGACCGATACCTCCAAAATTGGAGTTTTTTTAATAAAAATAGTTTCTTAAAGAACTTTTTGAAAAAAAATCTCCTCATATGACAAAACAGTTTAAGCTTAAAAAATCTGCATAAAAATATTGAAAAATTTTTTCAACGGAATCGTAATAGTGAGATTTTTGGTACTGTTTTTTAACTTAACTGGGCCAAAACTATTCCGATGTAGACTTATGAGTACGGTGACCATAAATATGGATTCAAAATGAAGGACAATTTTTCAAAAATATGCCTACATATATTTACGTAGTATAAAAATATCAAAAGAGTATTTATGATTCTAAATTCTTAATACATTTTAAACTTTAAAAAGGAATCCCGTTTTCTTCATTGATATTAATCCTTTTTTACACGAATACTTATAAAAGTATAGTAAAACATATTACAAATTACAATAGCTTACACGAAAAGTGAAAATCTTTAAAAGATTATTTTATAGGCAAATTTTGAGTCGTTCAAAACGAAAACAATACCCTTCTTTTTTTGTTTTTTTGGTACTTTTCGCAGTTATTTGTCAAAAATCGACGTCATGAATCGACGTAAACGACGAGTTACAAAGTGCCCTTTACAAAAATATATAACTTGTGCAGATTGCGCTCCATAGCATTTACATTTCTAATCCGATTTTCATTATCTTTGGCTCAAAGTTTACTGTAATGATATATCTTATTTATCGAATTTTTAAACTAATGAAAAAAATAATCAAATGAATCTGTGTATTTGATTGAAAATCTCACTTTTTTCGCCTGTAGCACTAATAATTTTCATTGAAGTCGCCACAAGTTATTTTTTTGGTAAGAGGCACATCAATACCCTTCGAGCTGTAAGGCGCTTACATTAATTTGGAGATTTTTTCATGAGATATTGAAGAAAAGCTAAGAAAAGTACCAAAAAACACTTTTTTGAAAAAATCCATCCATTGTCCGATAATTTTACAATAACGAATAAAATGCGGGACAAATGCAGGACACTTGGAAAAAATCAGTACATTTTCGGGTTTTTCAGGTTTGAAAAACTACGCAGGACCGACCTTTGAAAAACAGTACGGTCCTGCAAAAAACAGAACGGATGGTCACCGTACTTATGAGGTATCATTGCACAGTGGTTGCATTTATATGGGGAGAGCGGCCAAAAATAATTTTAATGGACATATCGGGATAAAATTTTTACCCTAAGGTCTGTTAAGAGTAAAAACTGTAATATGTAAAAGTGGGCGGGGCTGGACACGCCCACATACAGTCATGTAAAAAATAATAGGGACACGACATTGTGACCAGTTTCGGCTATTTTTTTTGTTTGTTTAATGTTTATTTTATTTTTTTAAATATACAACTCACTATTTAACAAAAACCATATAAGTCCAAAATTCAAACTTTGTAAAAAAATAGAAAAATTCAAAAAAATTTTAATACAACACCAACGTTTTTAAATAAGAACTTTTAGAAAAAAGGTAAGTATGCAGTTTTATAGCCCACTGAATTCTAGCACTAGAAAGTGCAAGTTTCATGTGGCTAAGAAATCGCGTTAATTTTTGATAATTTTTTTCCTGGCGGTGTCCCGAATTTTCTCCCATTCAAAGTATGTTTGACATTTTTTTTTTATATGGAAGCAAATAACACCATCCGCAAAAAAAAATTGTCTACAATCAACGCGAATTTTCAGCCACTTCAAACTTGCAATTTCTTAAGCTAGAATTTAATGGGCTATAAAACTGCACCCTAAAAGTTGTTATTAAAAAGTTTTGTGTTGTTTTAAAATTTTGTTGAATTTTCCTATTTTTTTTACAAAGTTCGAAATTTGGACATATATGGTTTTTGTTAGATAGTGAGTTGTATTTTTATAAAAAAAAAATAAACATTAAACAAACAAAAAAAAAAATAGCCGAAACTGGTCACAATGTCGTGTCCCTATTATTTTTTACATGACTGTATGTGCGCGTGTCCAACCCTCCCACTTTTACATATTACAGTTTTTACTCTTAACAGACCTTAGGGTAAGAATTTTATACCGATATGTCCATTACAATTTTTTGTGGCCGCTCTCCCCATATAAATGTGTTTAAGCGACTTATGCATTTCCCGCATAAACAAAGAACAGCGAACACACACACGCACTTGTATATTGCACTCCCGCCCAAAAACCAAGTGCAGCGAATAAACACACGCACTTGTGCTTAAAAATAATTCGTTCGTTCTTCATTGGGTATGTATTTTTTAATGCACTTCTCAACTGCCGCAGAACAAAACCTACTAAAGTAGTTAATTGCTGGCACTCCAAATCATGCTCGACACTTCCGCTTGATGCATCACCACTCCTCCGGAGTGGTTTCAAACAGCCAAAGCCAAGCCGCTACCAGCTGTTGGGGCTCTGTATGACTTTCAGCATACAGAGGTGGTACAAGAGCTACCATTGGCCACCGCGCCTACCCAATTTTTGAACCTAAATAAATAACCGATGCTCAACAAACCCGCTTGATGCATCACCACTCCTCCGGAGTGGTTTTAAACAGCAAAAGCCAAGCCGCTACCCGCTGTTGGGGCTCTGCATGACTTACAACCATGCAGAGGTGGTAACTGATGGTTATCATTGGCTCCGACGCCTACCCAAAAATTTTTGATTTAATACATTTTTATGCAAATAAATTCATCCTGGTCCTGCCCTCACACTGAGTTAATCAAAATGCAACCACTGTGCGCTGTACAAATAAAATGAACAATTGATGACACTTTTGTTGCTTTTTCCAGAAACCACCGTTAGAATGAAAATAAAAAACATATGACAACATGAAGTTTGGACAAAAAACTGATTGCTAAGCCTATTTTGGTTCAAAAATTTTTACATACATTTTTATAATTTTGGGCTATGGCAACAACCACTGTGCAAATTTTTTAAGCTTAAACTATTTTGTCATCTGTGGGTATTTTTTTCGAAAAATTCCTTAAGAAACTATTTTTATTCATAAAAATCCATTTTTAAAGGTATTTTCAAATCGGTCCAGCTCACGTAAATCTTAAAATTTTTCCGAAATATTTTGGTCTAATTCTTAAAATATAATAGATTTTATAATTCCAATGGAAACACGAACCGTTTTTTTGTGATGCAGTCTAATATATGTACATATTATGTACATAGTAAAGTGAAAAGTAAAAATAAAAATAAATAAAGGTCAGTCACTATCGTAGTCGATGAAAGAGTTATCCAAATTTGACAGCAATGATACAACATTAAAGGATCTACGCTCAAGAGCAAAGCGTTAATTAGATCCTCCATTGGCTATTGAGCTGTCGGATAAATCCGAAGTCTTTGTTTTGCGCCTCTATAGCTTCCTGAGACAACATTCCGCTTAAGCTTATTACATAGGTATCTTTTTAGGTTTGAGTCTTTTTTTCCATACTCCATATTTTCGCCACTGTGCCTCGGTTTCTAATTGCGTATAAAAGGTGTGGTGACATTCAAAGAAGGATTTTCTCGTGCACTTCCTGAGCCATACACGAGCCAAATAAGCTTAGTCAAAGTACAAGTACAGTTCTCTTAGCTACGCCCAGGTGAGCGTTATCGAGTCTAATAAGTAGTTGATTAGTCGCCGAACTGTAATCTGAAATTGGTAGATGCTTAGGCCCAATTTCAGATGGCCTACTTAAGTAGAGATTGTTGATTAAGGCCCCTATTATCGTTTGCGAATCGCTGGAAAAAATGCGCGACTCGCCAAAATTTGTATTACTGCTAGCGAGTCGCCGTGTGACGTTCGCGTCAAACGTCAAAATGAAGCGAATGTAAAAAATGCGTTTATTACTGTTAGCGACTCGCCTAAAAACCGTTCGCCGCAACTGTCAAAATCGAGCGACTGAAATTTGAACGTGACTAGCGGATAGAATTTTGATAAAATATTAAAAAATTCCCAGAAAAAGATGGAGAATATAAAAAAATGGTAAGATTAACAAAAAACGTAATCTAAATCAAAAAGAATGTTTGGTTTGTAGTGTGAAGAAAACCAATCCACAACAATTCAAAAAAATTGTTGAATTAATGGAGGAGCACCCAGAAGTAGCTAAAGGGCTTGGCAGCTTTGGTTCGAGCAAAACAAAACAACACAGAGATGTGGTACAAGTTCGCTGGTGATTTGAACTGTCTTGGACCCCCAATGGGAGATGGCAGAGGTTGGAACAAGGTACCTATCTAATTGAACGCAGATTTCAAGAAAATGTACAGTAATTTTTCCCAATTTCAGGTATGTCTGGACTACAAATTAAAATTGAAGCAAAAGATTGCTGCCAATAAGAGAGAGAGCGTCGCTACTGGCGGTGGACCGTTTACTCAACTGAGTCTTTCACCTTTGGAGCAGGCAGTCGATTCAGTGCTTGGTCTTCAATATGCTGTTTGTCCAAGTGGAAGTACTTTTGGCGGCATCATACCGCACACAGCAATTGAAGACACATTTGAAGCTGCTGTAAGTGAAAATACAGAAGAAACCACCGGAAATATGGAATACATTAGCCGTTGCGTACAAGCTACGCCTTCTAAAAAAAGAAAACTTTCCGCATTTGCTGTTAACGAGAGGGAGGAGGAGCGCATTAAATTTTTAAAAATGCAGATAGAAGGTCAGCAAGAATTGATCGAAAGAGCAAAAAGTATTGGGCAGGATTTACACGATATAGCGAGATATAAAAGAAAAAGTTTAGAAATAAAGAAATAAAAGTTGAACCTTTTGAAAGAAAAGGAAAAAAGAAAGAATAAGGAGCGGCAAGAACGTGCAAATATCCATAAAGAAAAGCTCGAGTTAAAATTAAAAGAACTTGAACTTAAAAAACTAAAATATGAGCTAAAGTAAGACGGTTTTATCTATTAATCTTTTTATGTATATATTTTTTCATATCCGAAGTTGAATTTAAGTTAAATGGATAAATTTTATTTGAAAAAAGAGTGTTTTCTTTTAAATATAGAAGAAAATAAAAATTACAATTAAGAACTAATCAAATAATGAATGCATTATTTCGGACCTTCGCAGATCCCCTTCATTAGAATGAATGTCCTTATTTTCCGGTTCCACTTGAACAACCGGATCGATGTAATTTTCAACAGCATCTGGTGTTTCAATTGGGGTGTTCACAGTTCGTTCCAAATTATGTCTGAAAATGTAGACGTCTACATTTTGAGACATCTTTAGCATCAAACTGTGAGCACCCCTTTCTAGCATTCGTCGCAAAATCGTCTCAAAACTTTGCTGGTGTTGCCAGACATTTCCTCTTTGCGTGCATTTTTTATATATCGCCTTTCGATTTTGTTTCTGAAAAATTATAATTATTTAACTTAATTACCAATTCTAATATTTGTTATTTCTTTTCCTTGATTTGTTTCTTTTCATCAGAAATTGCGCTCAAATTAAATGCAAATACAAAAAACGTGCCCAATAAATAAAAAAAATGTGATTAGTATTGCCATAATGCAACCCTGCTGCGAGGTTGCAAAATGTAGACGCGTAAAAAACATACCTTTGAGTGTGACAAAATGTAGACGGCGTCGTTTTCCAATTTTGTATGGGAAACAACAACACCACAGATTTTACGGTTAGAAAACGTCTTAAAATGTAGACGTCTACATTTTCAGACACTATTTGGAACGAACTGTGAACACCCCAAATATTAAAATGCAAACAAATGTTGTGAAGAGCACAGTAGGCGTTGACTATTTGTGTGGCTTTGTGTGGAGAATAATGCAGTTTTCTTTCCCCGAGGAGGCATCGAAAACGACATTTCAACACACCAATTGTTTTCTCCACAATATTTCTCGCTTTGGCATGCTGTGTGACAGGGATGGGCGTTTCAAATAAAAAATAAATTTTTATTCATCATTCTAACAATTTTGAATGACGAATAAATTTTTATTCTTCATTCAAGCACTTGCGAATGATGAATAAATTTTTATTCATAATTCAAGTAATTTCAAGTAACGAATAAATTTTTATTCTTCATTCAAGCACTTGCGAATGATGAATAAATTTTTATTCATCATTCAACTAATTTCAAATAACGAAGAAATTTTTATTCTTCATTCAAGCACTTGTCGAATGATGAATAAATTTTTATTCATATTCAATAATTTCAAATAACGAAGAAATTTTTATTCTTCATTCAGGCACTTGCGAATGATGAATAAATTTTTATTCTCTTCAACTAATTTCAAATAACGAAGAAATTTTTATTCATCATTCAAGCACTTTCGAATGATGAATAATTTTTATTCATTATTCAAATA